TATATATAGTATAGAGATATAAAGGCAGAGTTTCATAGGTATAATAAAGAGAGCTGCGTCTGCAGTATTCCATAGACGTGCACACACTGCACACAGTGCCAACACTGCCAACAGAGAGTAGCTTTTAGAGCTTGCGGGCCGTCAACTACTCTATTTTTGTGTACATACGCGTACGTAATTGTATATACTTAGGATACGTAATTATAAAATAAATGTTGATGTACATGTACGATAGTAAAAGTGCGTCTGTGCGTCAGCGTCGCGAAAGACAGATATACGATAATACACATGAATGAAAGGAGTCGGTGCATATGTACATACAATGCGCGTATGTTTTTTGTTTACACTTCGCAAGCCAAGTTGTATAGCGCACGTTAGTGCCGAGGAGGGTTTTTGAAGGGTGTGTTTGAAGAAGAGATCGTATAGGTGCGTCAAAGTTTGAGGTTATAGATATCGAGAGTGTTGGATCGGCATTAACATCGCGGCATTGGGCAAAGAAGGAAGAGGAAAAAGAGGTTGAGGCGGGAGAAGAGGAGAGTTGGGCTGGGTCCACGGCAGTGCTGGCTATACATATACGGGGACGGACGGCGAGTGACCGAAAGGCAAACTGTATAGCTACCGACCGGTAATAAAGGACCGCTACAGGTGTTTGGACGTCCATCCTTGTTGTCAAGATGGCGTCTAGGGGAAAAAGCAACGACGTGGCCGACGTGAGTACAATTTACGGGGTACACAATTATTGTACTGTTTTCACAACAACACACACTTGCCCCGCATACCTACTTGATGGCTACACACATACGCGAATTTCGATTCGATTCTTAAATCACACAGTGAGTTTTTGATAGTTACTTTTTTTTCTTTTTTTTTTTTTACCACCTATAGGTACGGGCGTGGCTCTGGTTTTAAAAACGGAGCACACGCTCCGAAGTTTGTATTATTATGAATCCAAGTTCCGAGCCTAGTCTAGTGAAAATATAAAGCTCAATTAAGCTACTCTCTCTCTGCTACATTTCATTCACTAGCGGTTAGTGTATACTACTTATCATCACGAGCCACACTCGCACCTTTCGGCTGTTTTTCTTATCAGCAAGTGGAGCAGTACAAGATGAGATCACTCGATATGATAACAAATGTCAAAACTTATGTTGTCAAATACTTCGACTAGTATACTTTTATTAGTATAATGAAGCTTTTAAAACTTTTATAAATTTATACGATACGTTAATACAAAGATAAAAAAATTTTTACAGTATGCAATCTCATTTTTCAGCCATTACTTAATTAAACAGAAATTTTATGCTTACATCCCATACGATTTTCCCCCAAAGAACGTTATTAATCAATAGGGCATTTTTAGTTTTTTTAAAGTATAATATGCTACTTGTTTGCAAAATGTATCGTAAAGAACAGTAAAATCTATTATACACACCAAGATATTTTAATGAAAATTATACTTATTTTATAATGCCCTACCAATTTTTTAAGGCTATTACTTATGAAGCAGCAAATAAATAGTAGAACAAATTATTACGTGTTGTTGGTTAATGAAATTAAGTCAAGAGTATCAGTGGTAACGTTTAAACTTCATAACATTAACTTTTAATTTCATGCACTGTTTATTGTTATTATTATTATTATTATTATGTAAATGAGATTCGCAAGTTTTTTTAAAACAAAACGAAGAATTCAGGCTATTTGCAACCGTTCATTATATTTTCATTATAACATTATAATATTTTTCTTAGAATATATCGATAAAAACATTAATAATTTGTGATAAAAAATACTCTGAAACTGTCACGATAACAAATAGCAGTACTTCACGAGTTATCGTTTTAAAACCGCGCGTTTTTCGGGTTCACCAGGGCCGTAGTCAGCTCGTCGCTTGCAGACAACCACACCCTGGATCTGGATGCCATTCAGTTTCTACGCCTTGCAATCATACAACCACGTATAACACGCCAGACTTTCTGTGAAAGATACACGCGTGCGCTCAGAAAACTTACATTAAAATGATAAGAACCGAAATGAAATTTTTCGCGCCTCTTTCTATCCATGTAATCGTGTTATTTATCTTTTCATAATAATTACTACAAAATTAGTTGTTTAGTCTTGTGTTTGCAATGCTATGATCGTATCAAACTTTATAATTTTTTTTTTTTTTTTTTTTTTTTTAACGACAATTTAATGAATTGTATTAAGTAGTAAACTTTAGAATTCCATGTAGATCAGTTCAATTTTCAAAATTGATCAGCATAGTAGCAACTATACTTATTACCGTTTTTTATTAATGTGACTAACCGAGGAAAGTCAAGATTGCAAAACTGAATCATTACTTAGTATCAAACTTAAATTTACGTAAGCCTTGATGTGTCACGATAAATGTCAGATTTGTTAGATTATACACCACAAATGAATTGTTATCCTAAATAATTTTAATAAATTTTGTAAGTGTTTGTTGCAAAACTTCTTATTACATCAATCGATTAATTTTTAGATATTTTTTGTAATTGAAATGACTGATTTATGCTTTGAATTGAAAACGATTTTATTTATAAAATAGAGATATTCATACTTTTTTTTATAATTTTTTAATTTTAGCTTAGTTAAAAATGCAAGGCCAATTATTCAACTATAAGTCAACGATAACAACGGATTACAGTTTTACAGTTTTAAAACCATCATGTAGAGATGTAGACTAATCTTTTTAAAAATCGTAGTTTTAGATGCTATGATTCATCAGTAGTACAAATCTGCATAAATTAAATTTCATTCAGAGTCCATAAAATCATCATGAGTAGCAAATCGATTTTTATTTTGATATAGATCTAGTTGCAGAGAACATAACAGATAATAATTCTTTGTCAGTTATGTTATAGTTAATTAGTACCTTGAACGTTGCGTAGCGTGTAAAATAATCGAATCTCCAAATTACAAACTATATATATCTAAGTTTTTTTCGTAAAGCGTAAAAATTTCGTGGTAGGGGTATAGTATATTCTTCAAACATACAAGCAAAAAGTTCGTAGCGAGTTGTATAATTTTTGCCAACCTTTCTACATCGACCCGATGAAGCTGTACTCCTTTTTTTTGTGGCAAAATGCCCAATTTTCTGAAAGGGGACGCTGATGCAAGGGAAAAAAAGAAAAGTTGATCAATTGACAATTTAGGGGTGGATGACAGCTTTTTTGGTAATTTCCAAATATTGATTTCAATCGATTGATTTTATTAATCTGTCAAAAAATAAATGTACGTTACATCCCTTGATTATTTATAAATTGATACCTGGTATAAACTGAGAATCGCTATAAAAAAATTTTTTTTTTTTTTAATCGAAATATCCTCGTAAAATTAATTAAAAATAACTTTGCATTCTACAAATCGAAGACAACTCTCTTGGGATAATTACTCCAAGCCGTAAATACGTCCGGGCTCGCGCTTTATACAACGGGGTTAGTACTGTGTTATGTGCACACAACAAGGAACGAGCCGTTAATCAACGCTAATGAGTACTAATGATTTAGAAGAATCGTGCGATTATGTGGGCCATTATAATATTTTTCTGCCCGTAGATAATTTTTTTCTTCCTTACTTTATACTATTCACAACGATCCGTTATCTCCATTCCTGTCACCCTTTCTTATGATACTAATCGTCGTTAATATCATTGAATTTTTATTTTTTATAATTTCGTTTCGATGCGTCAAATTTAAATACTCATTTGTATGATGCCACTCATTGTAATGTTGTGTTAAATGAATAAATGAAAAAGGATTTAATACCGTTTGCATAAAATATATGATTAAATTACATAGCTTTCCATTGCAGCGGTATTTAATAAGGGCGCTGAATTTAAACATGGAAATATATGTATTAAAGTACCTAAGAGCAGAAGCACATATTTTACAGAACTTGGTTAGCACAGCACGTTACAGTATTTGCATTTAAATTAAAACTTTTAATTGAAAGGGGAAACGACGGTTTTTAATCTCGTAAGAGACCGAGATTAATTAAATAAATGCAAGTTGTTGAAACTTTGTTGTTTTGAAACTCTTCAAGATCATGAGTGTTTTGAATTATCGATTGGTAGTCAGTCGAGTTGCGATTAAAAGTTAGTGATTTATAAAGTTAACACAAAAATATTCACACCCAACTTCGTCGAAGATGATAAAAAATTATTAAAAAATTCGTACTCAATATTTTATTGGAAAAGGGTTTATAAAAAACAAATTAATTGTATTATTATCATAAGGTACGTGCGTGACTCTTATCATACGCTACAGTGGTACTAAGGCACTTGGAGCCTCGGTGTTCTATCACCAGATAACGCCAGCAGTATTTCTCGGCTTTTTGTCTTTTTGCTTTGTATAAATGGCTATGTAACCTAAAGTTAATGCCAATAAATACATTTAAAGTTTAAAGTTTTGCCTTTTTGAAGTCACCTACACCTATATATACACCGAACTGTATTCCTGCTGCTACTTGCTAAATGTCAAATTCGTACGCAACACTTGACATCCACACTTTGTCAAACAAACAAGCTATCGTCACCGGGATTTAGATATTTTCTCGTCCATCGTTTTAATTTACAAAAATCATGGAATTTCTTTTCACTCAGAGTCCAGCATTTTTGCCGTATTGGTAAACTTTTATTCTCCAAGAAAAAATTTGTTCTTGAAATCATCATTACTTGGATGCTGACTATTTGAGATGAAATAAATATTTTGGGGGTAAAAATGTGTTTTACACTCCAAAATAAAACGATCCGTGCGTAGTTACATAAATTCGTGAGCTTCAGTTCCAAAACAAACTGACCTATACCCTGGAAATCCGAGAGTAGTCCCGAAAATCAAGCTTACAGAATTTACGGAAAAGCAAACACGGGCTCGAGATGACCGACTCCATCATCCCTCCCTGGATCCATTGCATGTACACCTCGTACATACACACACACAGTTGGGAGAAAGCGCTACCAACATCATCGGCAAACACTCTCTCGCGTACGTATACGTATGGCGAGAGACACGAGCCCGAGTGTAAAACGAATAAACACCTCTCGGGTGCGTATTAAATGGTTTAGAAAAATCACGCAGCCATCACACTTGGCATCAAAATCAGCAACGAGGAGATGATGATGGTGATATAGAACAGCATAGGTAGCACTATAGTTCTCTTGTAATACAGCGACGATGATGACGATGCGCGCCGTCTCACCTTCGACGTTAATTCGCGCGACATACGCTTCGCGCTCATTATCGCTGAATTAGCCATTATGTCGTTATTTTAACGAGTCAATGTGTGTCAGGGGACAGAGCGCGATGAGCACCTCGACTCCGTCGTCAATACACGTATCTTTTGTACGGATGTATCAAGTGTATAATGTAGATTTGCAGGATTTTTTTTTTTTTTTTTTACATTTACTTGTTGTGCATGTATAACATTGTCGCTGCCCCCCACATCGGCCGCCTCCCGCGTTTGTGCGCTGCGTTGCGTGGGAGGAGGAGCACGAGAGATGAAGCAATTCGGCCTCGGCTTTGGCACAAAGCCCTGCTACTTCCGCTTCTCCAAAGCGGACGTGTCTGTGTGTGCGTGTGTAGCGCGGTCGAGATGAGAGATGTATTGTCTTTCTCCATACACTGTATATACCTTCGCTCTTGGGCTTCCCTTGTCGTACACACATTTTCATGCGCCATCACGATTTGGTCTA